GAGTTGAACTAGTTTCTACCGATAAACAATTCCAGCTTACTGGTCAGAGCGGGACTTAAACCCGCGAACTCCAGATTTCCAGTCCAGCGCCCTAACCACTCAGCTACGCTGCCTTCTTTAATAAAAAGATTCAATGGTGCTGCTCAAAAGCCCAAAAACATGGTCCATTTTACTAACCAGTTCTGCATCCGTAGAATTCAACTCTCATAGAGATGTGACTTCGCCATCCCCAAGGGTGAATTTTGATAAATCGAGCATATACTGCAGGATTCAGAGCTTGTATTTTGATGCTGTTTTGATCATTGTTGCCACGGAAAGTCTGAAAAGAAATAATTTCACATATTTAACAAAACATGCTTGCAAATTAGGTACAAAACAAGAATAAATTGGTTCTGTGTACCGAGTTTCTACAACTTTTCTCTTCTTTTTCCTCTTGAAAACGTCGCAAAATCGTTCACATTACATTGGATCGGAATGTCTTGAGCAAAAACTTATGGAATACTTTCTTCCAAAAACCAAAAATAAAAAATAAAAAAAAATACCCTGGATATAATTTTTCTCTAATCATGTGTTACTAGGGTTATTCCACTTAAGAAGATAACTTCAGTACAGTGTAAACCCCAATTTCTCAAATTATCCGATTTTTCAAACCAGTTTTCGTTTTCCTTGGAGGTTCGAAAAATCGGGATTCTACTGTAAATGGATGTTTGGCAGGATACTTCACACGAACAGGTCCGGGTTGTTCGAAGGCTGGGTAACGCTATCCACCACGGTGTAAATCACTATCCAGCGGATAGCGTGGTTTGTTTTGTTAATACTTATCCACTGGTGAGCGAATTATCCAGCCTTCCAACAAGTTGGGTCAGGCTTTCCCACTACGATCACATTTTCTCACCTTATCGCTGTTCTTGAATCGATAAACCTGCCAATGAACACCATCTAAACTGGAAGATACTCTATAGTACGTCACCCACTGGGCAGCATCCTGTCTTCCCTGAGTGGCTATCTTGGTGATTTTCATTGTCCGACCAAAGTCCACCTTAATCCACTGATTCTTGTTGTTGTGCCTTGCGCACCAGGCTCCAACATATCTACCCCTCTTATGTAGTCCCAGTCTCCCAAGTCTGGACGCGTGGTAGACGTTGTATTCTGATGATGCTGTGATTCTGCTGTTTCGTAGACGGCCATTTTGTAAACCTAAGGGAGTGTTGCAGAGAGCACCTAGGGAAATAAAATGCATTAGTTTTAATTTTATCCCTTATAGATTAATCAGTCAAATTGTGGCATACATTTGAAATTTAAATGTTTTGTAGAACAGGTAACGATTGGCAACTTGAAGTAGCTGGAATGCCCCATTTGTTATGCTGAATTTTTCCATACATTGAGAGTCATTTAGCGTGATCAATGATTCAGGGAAATCTCACATTTTTTCCATATTTCTCTCAAACATCTAAAGTGGTTATTCAAAGACGCCCGTCAAATACTAAGGCTACTAATGGGTTCTAACTTACTTGTACAGCCAAAAAGTTCAACTCTCATTGAAATCCAACTATACCACGTTCTTGGATGGATCTTCACGTAAGCAGCACTGAATGTCTTCAAGAAGTGATGATATACTACAGAATGTCTGTCAGTGTTGCCTGAAAAAATCTATGATGGATAAACAACAAACTGCCGCTGTCAGTTTACTACAAAATGTAGAAATTGTGGTTTGGTTTTATTCTAAGTAAATAGACCATTTTCGTATTCTCGGTATTGGATTGGAACTAGCTTGTAATGGACGCTTATGTGGGGGAATATCATTAAAGAGAGATAAATGTCATTTGCATTTGAAAAGACTCCCCGCATTAGCCTCAGTTGCAAGCTAGTTCCAGTCTGATACCGAGAATTGTCTATTGACTTATATTTTCCTTTATTCCAAATTATGATAATGAACATGAAACAAACGTAATAAACAGACTTGAGCCATGACAAACATTTGATACCGTATATCGCAAACCAGACAGACAAAATTGCTTACAAAAGTTGTTTTGAAATACTGGAGAACATTGCATGATTCGTGCCTTTACATTATACCCATATATTCGTAGATGAAATATTTAACGGCCTGTATTTTACTTTTCAAGAAGAAAACTTGTTTAAGTCACAAACCAGAATCATAAAACTTAAAAATTTAATTTTTCACAAAACCTCTGAAACGTATTAATAATTCATCAGGTTTGAACAAGGGAAACCATTTGGATATCTAATCTAAATTAGCATAGATTTTCACTATTATATTTCTCCGTTTCCTCCCTAGTTTTAGTTTCGAGTGAAAAGATATATCAAACACGAAAGACCGTGTTTGACCACAATTCCAAACGCTTCTAAGTTCGTCAAAAATACTCGGAACTACTCGTCTGTGTTTAAAAATGAGGTCAAACACGATCTTTCGTGTTTGATATATCACAAACTGTTACAGATTTAACAGCATTCTCACCTTAATCCTTCTGTTTTCTCTGTAGGGGACATAGCTCACACCATCTCGACTATACGTCACAAGATAGGTCTTCACCCATTGGTTGGCATCCTGCCGGCCTTGGGTTGCTATTCCTTTAAATCGTGTTATATAACCAAAATTGACCTTGAACCATTGCCTGTTATTTCTAGTCCGTGCACTCCATGACCACCGGTGGTTCAATCGGCCATGCCATGGTGACAAGTGATGGTTGTAGTAGGTAGAGGCTGTCAGAGCTCCCGGAGTGATACGTTTGTCTTCTAAACCAAGAGGCATGTTGCAACGGTCTACAAATAAAAGCGAACAGGATTCAGACAGTCAGTGAATGCATAGCATGGCCAAGGACAAAAAAATTATGACTTGGCAAATTTATCTCCAAAAGCAAGGTCCAGAACCAACCAAAACATTATCAAACCCGGGACATGAATAATCAAAACATTTCCACACCTTCAGCACATCCATAGAACTCCACTCTCATAGAGATGTGTCCATACCAACCCCAGGGTCGAACCTGAATAAACCGTGCCTTGATGGGGGGGTAGAATCTATGCTGTACCACTGTATTTTGGTCTCTGTTACCTGTGAAGTACTGAAAAGAAATAATACCCTGTTACGCATGACTGCAGTGGAAAGCTGCTGACTAGCGAGCACTGGCTCAATTCTAGCTTAGCCTGAATTCCATTTAAGAACAAAAAATGGCTTCCTTCCATTGGACACCTGCTTGTTTGAATCCTTTGTATATTTCAGTAAAAATTTGTCTTACTCCTGAGAAAGAGACCAACAAACTTGCTTAACGCCCATCAGAATTTGCAGCAAACAGATGTCTTAATTCAGTGTGCCATGGTTGTAAAAGAGCCATAAAATAATAAAATCCAAATGTACTATTCATAACTGAACTACCCAATGTCTCATTATATTCAATCTAAGGTACTGATAAATCGATATACACACCTTTCTATTGCTGTTCTCTTTATACTCAGCAAAATGTGCACAATCCTGACTGTATGCCACAAAAAACTTTGTCACCCACTGACGCGCATCCTGTCGTCCTTGAATGGCTATCTTCACCACCCGCATAGGACGTTTGAAATCCACTAACAACCACTGGTAGTGATTGTTATGACGAGCGGACCACGCCCCGGTTCTGGCGCGGGTTCTACGCCAATACAGTCTGGCATTGCTTGGTCCATGATTACGATCCCACATGGAAGATGCTGTGATTTGATTGGCATGTATACGGCCGTTTTTCATTCCTAATGGTTTATCACATCTTGGGCCTGCAGTGAGATAAGAAAATCCAGGTGTGAGAGTATTGTGACTAAAACGTCGGAGTAAGAGAGACAAAACGTAATGGACATTTAAGCTGAATGACTCAAAATGTTGATATTAAATTATATAAGTAATAATTAATTAATAAACAATTAATAATAAACAAG